TAAATATCTAAAATGTTTTTTTAAAATTATTAAAATTAAGTCTTGAATTTGATTATATTTATATGCATGATACATTACCTTATAGATCGTGATCCATTCCTCCTAACATTTTACGAATTATATTATACTGCTATCTGATAATAAACTAAAGAAATGCTGAAGATGTTCAGAATAACATAGTACTCTTTTGCTCTTTCCCTGTTCCTGATTTTTTTTAATTTGAAGCATTAACTCTACCAGTTTACCAAAAGTTTTATCTATTTTAAATGAACCTTTTTTTCTATATTCAGCTAGTTTTGATCACATTTGACGTTCATCTGATTCTTCAACTACATTTTCATATAAAGTTTTTAATTTGTTATTACCTAAAAGTTGAACTAGTCTATTATCCTAAATATGCCATTTTGAAATATATTTAAATGTTTTTTCAGTTGCACGTGATTATAATTTATTAGATTTAATTAATAAAGTATATAAAAACCTTTAATTATGTAAAGTAAAAAAAATAATTATAAACGAAATATACCACACTAATGGCTTTATGAAAACGTGGATTATTTCTTAATTTATCATATTTCTCGCATATTTTGGATTCATGAATGGTAAATTTTGTATATTTAGCACTTGTTACTGATAAAGTTTCTTGATCTAAAAATCATGTCGCATGTGTTTTTTGTAAGTTATAAAGCTCTTGTCATTCATTAAAGTTTAACTTGCTATAAACTAGATGCTCATCTTTAAATTTATTTGGAAATAGCTGACAAGCAAGTTCTGTTTCATGTTTTGATCCACTAAAATCAGATAGACAACAAAGTATATATTGTTTAATTTGATTATTTGATAAACCTTGACAGGAATAAGATTGTCTTTCGGATAATGGTATTTTGTTACTATTGATTTTATAATATTTTTCAATTCCACATTGCCCTTGTGTTTTAGCATTACATGCTCTTTTGCTACGCATGTAGCTTTAAAGAAAAAATAGATCAATTAAAATATTCCTTAATAAATCATAAAATGCAAAACAACTCCTTACATTTTTAAGTTCTTTACTGAGTATCGTTTATCTAATTTTATGTCTTTTCCACATATATATCAAATATGTTTTGGATTAATTAATTGTGAAAAGTATATATGCCGACGCAATTTTTTTCTTTAGAACATATATGAGGTTCTCTATCAAGAGGAAATTCATTATATTCGTCATCACTACTTTTACCAAAGTTATCATTATGCTCATCAGATTCATTATCAGATCTGCATCATTATCATTAGTATCTACATCATTAAAAGAACATTTTTTTATTGGTATAGTTAGTATTTGAAAGAAAATTAAGAGTTGTTTGTTGTAATTGTTTTATTAGTTTTAAAGGGGTAATCGTATGGTCTACAATTTCTTCTTCAATACTAGTAGTTTGATTCTTATTCTTTTTAGTACTTGTTAATATAAGGAAAAAAAGCGTTGTTTGTTGCATTTTTTTTTGTTTTTGTGAAAATTCTCCATCATTCTCCATTGTAAAAAAATTTTTAATTTAGATTTCTAATTATCATACTGTATTTTATTACAAATTTGCTGTGATCCTCCAGTTTTTATGGAATTTTACATTGAAAATATGAGTTACGGTATTTCGTGGTGAAAATATCAGTCAATAATGAAAATATTTTTTACAAGTTCATTTAATTTGACTATTCATATGATCAGCTAATGATCAACAATATTTTATTAAACATAATATATGCATACATATATTGGGTATATGTATTTTACTCATGCTATTAATAGGGACCTTTTGCAAACTATTAATAATTTTACCCTTATATTAGCTAGAAAGAAAAAAAAACTTTACCCTGTAGAAACTTGAACAATTTTAAGATACTATAAAATTTACCTATAGTTTGGCCAATAACTTTAGGAAAATTTTAATATAAACTTTACCCAGTCTACGCATCGGTAACATCAATTATAAGTTTCTGGGATCCTCATAGATGTCTTTCTAAATATTGTCTAAACATCTGCTAGACTAAACACATCTATTTTGAGATAGAGATCATTATATTCTCCCAAGTTCTTACACCTAAATTCATTCCATACATTTTGGGCATGATTATAATCCTCTTGTAAAATTTTATCTCCAAGAACACTATAAAACTCATGAATCAGAGGTAAGTCTGTTTCCTTAAATCAGTCATAAGAATCTATGTATTCATGAGAAAAGATTCCTTTGCGATATGCTAAGGAAATCTGTTCAGAAGAATAGCCTTGTTTCTTAAAATACTCAGTCGTAATTTGGTGGTCATCACCCAAATTCTTTGTAAGAGAGGCTAAGCTACTATTCATGAACTGCATGCTATCTATATATTTGAATTGGCCTACCTTCATAGACTTATATTGCTCAAATATTTCAGCAATAATAGTAATTTAAAGAGAATTATCTGAACGTTCAACAGATTTACAAATTAAGTAAGAGTTATATCCCTGCAAATTATGAAAGATAATTGGGATTGGTATCTTTCATGACTCAATCTGAAGTTTGAGATTGCAATTATTATAATACGCATCTCAAAATTTACCTGTAATATAACAGTAATCCCAAACCTTTTTATCTCTAGCTTCTTCCATAATAAGTTCAGCTTATGCTTTGGAGATTGCCAATTTTAATGATTTATAGTCTTCAGGATTTTTAACAGCCTTTAGCAATTCTATATAGAGATTTTTAAGATCCTTTTCTGATTTGATATTTTTCTCAATTTCCCAGATTCTTTTTGATATTTTTCTAGGTGAAGCTATCTTATTATACGATTTAAGATCTTGAACAATTTCTGTAAGCTTGTCAGTGAGATTTGCAATCTTTCTTTCTAAACTATTAATCATATCTGTATCTATACTAAACTTGTTTTCACAGATCCAACACCTATCAGCCTCTTTAAACCTTCTTTGGTAATTATCTGTAATAATACGCTCATGCTTAACAGATAAGACCTTATTTATTTCTACCAATTCTTGATTGATCCTTTGAATGAATTCTTCTGTGTCATTTTTTTCACGATATAAGAAAGGCCCATGTTTCTCCAGTATCAATCCAGTGGATTTTGTAGCTAAAACTATTAGCTTCTTCTTCTGCTATTTTCGCATATTTCCACCATAATATATATCACACTTCTTCTTTAATGACTCGAAATCTGCAAGAATAATACATGGAGCATTGATCTGACGCCCATAATTCCTAAACTCTTCAAAATCATTAACATCTTTTACAGGCATAGTAACTCTTTGTGGGGCTTCACCCAAACTAAAACACCATTGCTAGTGATGGTCTAATAATTTTATTGATGGAAATCTTTGAAAGCATCGGTTGCATAAATATTTCTTTTCTTTATGAGATGTATCCTTATTTACTAATCCATTCGGATTCTTGATATAAAGGAAGTGATTCTTTTGTCTATACTTACGTTCCTCAGATTTTGTAATATCTGTAAGGGTCAACAGATAGATAATATGTTGCTTGTTATAGTTTTTACTATGAAAAATGGGTTTAGGAATACGTGTTTCTTCTTCCCACTTCCAGATATTTATGGAGATATATGGATTCATCTTCTCAATCTTTTGAAATATTCGTAGACAAATTGGAGTAGGCATTGGGATTCCATTGAGCTTGATCACATCTAAATATGTTTTATATTTTGTAACTCGAAAGATTCGTTCAAGATGATCTGTATGTCTATCTGATAGGTGAAATAATAACATAAAGCACCTTGAAGATATTTTTCAGAAGGCTTTTTCGTCTCTGGATCAATGAGATCTTTATTATCTGGATTGATTGTATATTTTGTATTAGCAAGCTTTTTTGGTGTAGGGATATAAGATCCTTCTAGAGGTCGATGAAGTGTATATGACTCTATAAGTATCATTTCTAATCAGAGAAGGATTTTACCTAATTCTTCTTTTAAATAGCTTTCGATTTTTTGATCAATTTCTACACCAGATTGGGTTATATGTTCATCTATATATTGATCTGAAAGAATTTCTCATTGATTGTTTTTATGATAAGGATGATGATATTTGGCAATGTAGTTTGCCTAATCTGAAATATCACCTGTTTCTTTATAAGTATATGATACATACGTAGCATATATGACCAATGCTGATTTTATTTGATTCCTTTTGTGAAGCTCTTATTTAAGAACATTTGTGATTGCCCCTCGTGTTTCTGCAATAAGTTGGGACATATAGGGAGCATCTGCATATTCTATTTCATTATCTTGCTCTTTATTGAATGCATAGGCAGGATTTTTGCATGATAGAATAACTCCCTCCCATACAGTCATACATTTTAGAGAGCTGTGTTGTCTGGCAGGATCACGCTCTCTTTCCAAGAATATTATATCACCATCAGGTGGTTCTTCTTGTACAATTTTTGTGGAATATGCTCCTGCAGAATAAGTCCTATCTTTTTCTTCATAAATTGACCGAAAATGCTTTCCACTAGCATATTCCTTTTCTGCTTGAAATCCTGTAAATACTTCTTCATCACATATGTTTTGTAATTCTTCTTCAGAAACTTCGCTTAGCTCTTTAAGTAAATCATTAATTTCTATATTATGTATTAATTGTGTTTCTGGTTGCCCTTCCTTATGAGTTTGGGTTGATGGACTAGGTCCAGCTTCGGGATCAGGAGTTTAGTTAATCTCTTTTAGCTTCTCCTGAGCATCTTGTCACTCAATCTCTCCTTTTGACCCTCCTTTTGTCCCTTCTTTTCTCGGGTATTGTCTATTGGAGTAGATGATTTTGCCTAAGAGGTGAAACATGTGTTAATCTATGAATAGGATTTAATTTCTTACACTTAAACTTCCTTTTAAGATGATTTGTCTTATTACGAGACCTTTAAAGTCATCCTTTCCACATCGAGAACATGATGGAATCATTTTTGATATATGTATATACTTTCAGTTGTTTGTATTAATAGTAAAAAAACTTTTGTTTAAAATAAATTATTTAATATGAGCGTCTTATCGCTTAACCACGCTAGGTCCCTGAGAAGGTGGGGTTTTCTGGCTTCGAATTTATGAGAAGGCGGGCCTGGCCTTTGTAGAAAATATGCTAGTGGTTATTATGTGACACAGTATATTAATAGACTTCGGGATAGAGCCATGGGTACTTATTGGAATGTAAATTAGAGTTTAAAATTTTACATCTAAGGTGTTTTGATTTTGCGGAAACTTTTGTAATGAAAATGAGCTTGAAAGGATTCCTGTATATTGAAAAATGTTGGCATATTAGAACTTAATCTTGAGCTTTTAGACTTTCTTGTATACATTTAAAAATTTACATCTAAGCTGTCCGGATTTTGCAGAAATTTTAGTAAAAAAAATGAATTTGTAAGGTTTCCTATATATTGAAAATTGTTGGTATGTTAGAACTTGATCTAAAGCTTTTAGACTTTCTTATATACTTTCAAAAATTTACACCTATGTAGGGCATAAGTATAAATTTTTTGTATTGCTAGCTGATAATGAATCAACTTTAGAATTAATTTAATGATATCATGAAATATTGTATGCGTTTTAGGCTCGCTTGGTCAGGCCCAGCTCATATTGCGTCACTTTGTTACTTGATTTTTGCTGGGCCCTCCAGAGGCAAGCAGAATAGCATAAAAGTTATTATTAAATTTAGGTTTGCAATGTTAGGCTCAGTTCAAATCACGTCACTTTGTTCCTTGATTTTTGCTGAACGCTCTAGAATAGTAAAAATTTTTTGATATATTATTTGAGATTAAAATCAAGCTAGAATAGTTGTATCAAAAGTATACTCCATGGTATTAGACAGGCTAATTCCTAGCCAAGTTCGATATCATTATCTATATTTGAGTCAAATTATGCTAGAGCTTTGTAATCAATAATGGATTTGTATAGCTAGAATTGATTCATGGGTAGTCAGAAAACCTTTCTGAATATATTTTGGATCTT